CGTAAAGGACACCAAAAAAATGATATCGCAGTTCGGTGCGCACACCTACTCTGCTGGGCCACGCCCAGACAATGATCAATCCACTAAGTTCAAAAGATTACAAAGCACCGAACGGTCTTACACACTCAACGACTCCCTCCTTGATGATGTCGCCGTTGCCTAGAATCTCCTTAGAAAGCTTGATCAGCGAGCACCACTCGACTTGACAGTTTCCTCCCGAAACTAAAGAAATCTTCTCCCGAAGAACCAACTCGAAAGCGTTCTAACAATTCGTCGCAACACATCAAGCGACACTTAACATTACAATCTCATTCTGATATGGACAAATGCTACTTTTCTGTTTTCAGCCCTGTGTGTTCATTACACGTTTTGCCATCATCATCACAAACCCTCATACCACTTTGTTTTTCATCCAACAATCAGCAACACTCTCCCACCGACAATAAGCACACCCAATCATAGTAAGGTCTCCTCTATTAACCACAAAATCAGGTCACAGCCCCATGACAATAAAAAGACAATTATTCCCAATATTTCTCACAATTCTTTCCTTAGAAGAGCCAACCATAATGCTCCAGAAAGTCCACTCTTGATTTGCAGCCAATAAACATGACAACCAAACTTTCTTTAAGAGGACTACCAATTTATAATGCCAACCAATCTTACAACCAATTTGTCAAAAATAAGCCAACACAAAAAATGCACTAACAGGTTTCATTCAAATGAAAGGGAAAAAACTACCGGTAAAACACGAATAGGACCAAAAAAATCGTGACGACACTAAAGTAATTGTGACATAATTATATAAACTGAATAGAAGAAAACGACAGTTTATTTTCTTAAAATAAAGATCAATAAATAACAGACATTTTTTACCACATAAGTTTTAACCTTTTCGATTTTGCATAAAATTGGCTCAATATTCTAGGGTGCATAAAAAACGTGCATCACGAGATACTGTGTACAGAATGCGTAATAATTTGTCTTTAGTTTCATCTGCACATACAAAGGTCAAGAGCTAGCTGCATTTAATTGCCATATTTTCTACGTCTCCAACTGTATGCTAGTCATAGACTAGCTATTTCGTATATTTAGCTAAATGGTTAACGATATAAATAGAATAACAATATTTCAAAACCAATTTTTGAAATAGTTTTATTTTTAGACGTACGTTGTTTTTAAGGAAGTTGTGGGAGAAAATAATGAGATCTCTGTGGTTATTAGCGCGTTCTGACTATGTTGGAACTCCTTTA